GTGGATGGAACTGGAGGGTATTATGATGCGCAAAATAAGTCAATCAGAGAAAGACACGTATCATATGATCTTACTGATATGAGGAATTCTTAATCTCAAGAAAGAAACTGAGGGTTGCTAGAATGGTGGAGAGTGGGAGGGATGGAGTGGCTGGGTATAGACATTGGGGAGGGTATATGCTATTGTGAGCACTGTGCATTGTGTAAGACTGCTGAATCACAAACCTGTACCTCTGAAACAAAGAGTATATTATATGTTAAAAAAAGATAGTAGGAAGGGTAAAATGAAGGGGGGGAATCAGAGGGGGAGACGAACCATGAGAGACGATGGACTCTGAGAAACAAACTGAGGGTTCTAGAGGGGAGTGAGGTGTGGGGATGGGTTAGCCTGGCGATGGGTATTAAAGAGGGCACATTCTACATGGAGCACTGGGTGTTATACGCAAACAATGAATCATGGAACACTACATCAAAAACTAATGATGTTATGTATGGTGACTAACATATCATAATAAAATTTTTAAAAAAGGCAAAGCATATTGCATATAGCTCAAAAAAAATTGACGAAAAACCACTACACAATCATACTCAATAGTGGAATGCTGAAAATAAGAATGCCTCCAACACCAATTTCATTCATGATATTACTGGAGGTCCCACCCAGTATAATAAATTAAGAAAAGGAAATTAAAAAGCGTAAGGATTACAAAGGATGTAATAAAACTGCCACTATTCTTATACAATCTGATTATATATATAACAATCCAAAGATTTACAAACTATTAAAATTAATAATGAATTTGGCTAAGTTGCTGAGTATAAGGTCAATGTAGCAAAATCAATCGTATGTCTGTTGACTAAGGCAGTCTTAACATTTTCCTCAGCTTGACTTCTTCCTGCCTCAAGGCCCCTGACCTCCTTCCTTCTCATCTCTGTTCTAAAAGAATCCAGATGGTCTAAGCACAGAAGTCTCTCTATTCCCTTTTCTTAGAGCATTTACTTTCGAATATTTGTAAATGTAAATTATTTCTTTGCCTTTTTGAGATGTAAATCTTTTGTAAAGCTTCTTCCAGATTTACTACTCAGGGCTGTCTTTCTCAAGGCCCTGAAAGCCAACCCTTTGAGATGTAATCATCAAGGAAGATACTGCCCCTATTTCCCCATCTGTGAGAGGGTAAGGGACTGACTTTGGTGAGCATCTTGCTCCAAGTTGTAAATAAACCCCCAGTTATGATGATACAAGAAAGTATGCCTTTCCTTTAGGTAAGGACAATTAATAAAACAGATGGCCTATGATGGTCCCACTCCAGCTCTTAAGAACCCTCCCATACTTTGTTTCACCAGAGTTGAATTTAGACGTGTTCTGTCGTCTTTCATCTATTGCAATAGCCTTGACTAGTCCGCCTTGCCTTTTTTAATTTTGTCAGGTGCAATTTTTATCTGACATTATAAACTAGCAACAAATAGAAAATTAAATTAAAAAATACCATTTACAACAGCACAAAAAACATCAAGTATTTAAGACTAAATCTACAAAAGATACACAGGACATTTACACAAAAATCTAAAATAATTTCTGACAGAAAATTTAAAAGTGTGATATGATATACTATATTCATGTTCTGGAAGACTCAATAGTATAAAAATATGAATTTTCCTCAAATTTATCTATAGGTTCAATGCAATCCCAATCAAAACACTAGCAAAACATTTTGCAGATATGGTAAGCTGATTCTCAAACAAATGCAAAGTGCCTAAAATAGCTAATACAATTGCAAAGAACAAAGCTAGAGGATGTGCCCCATCAGATATTGCTATTATATACCTATAATAATTAAGAACTATAATGTTGACACAGAGTTAAACAAACTGACCAAGAAAACAAAAGAAAGTGTCTAGAAATAGAACCACATACATATATTCACTTGATTTATGACAAAGTCAATACTGTAATACAAAAGGGAAATGCCTCACTATCTCTTCAGTATATATGCTAGGTCAACTGAATATCCCTATGGAAATGTGTGTGTGTGTGTGCGCGCATGCACGTGTGTGTATAAAGATCTCACACATCTACACCTTTTAAAAACAAAACAAAGATGAAACATTTTTATGGCCTTAAAGTAGGAAAATATTCATATACAGCACACCAGCGTATTAACTATTAGAGAAAGAAATAATGTATTAGACTGCCCTAATATTAAGAATTTCTGATCATTAAATAATAATCTGTAAAAAATAAAAAGAGGGGTGCCTAGTTGGCTCAGTAGGTAGAGCGTGTGACTCTTGCTCTCAGGGTCTTGAGTTCAAGCCCCACATTGGGCATGAACCCTACTAAAAAAAAAAAAAAAAAAGAATGAAAATAACAAAGAGTGAAAGGAGATTTTTACAAAATATTTGAGTAATATCCAGAATACATAAACCAGTTTTAAAGAATGCAATCAATAAAACAGAAATATGAACAAAAAATTTGAATGTATTGCAGTGAATATCCAAATGGCTGATTAACAAGTAAGCAGGTATTCACTATTCAGCTTCATTAGTCTTTAAGAAAATGCAAATTAAAAGCACCATTAAATGTAACTACACATCCGTCTGAATGGCTACAGTGGAAAAGACTTTAATTATGAAGCGCTGACATGGATGTGGAGTAGTCAGATCCCTCATGCCCTTTGGTGAGCATGTAAATTGGCACAACTACTTAGAAAACTGGCAGTATGTACTAAACCTGTATATCTGCAGGTCAAATGACCCCAAACTCCAGGCTTATACAAAATAAAAATGATGACAAAAAGACGTTCATTAGAATGTTCGCAGCATCATTATTCATTGTAACCCCAAAGTGCACACTACCTAAATGTCCACCAACAACGAATGGACAAATAAACCGTGATCTAGCCAATCAAAGGAATACTCTCCTGCAACAGCAATGATGATTTACAAATATAAGGTTAAATGAAAGAAGCCAGACCCAAGGGCACACCGTGATGACTACATATTTACACAGTTCACAATCAGGTAAAACTAGTCTGTTTAGAGATCCACAAGACACTGGATACCTTTAGGGGTAGAGGTATACAGCCTGGAAGAGACACCAGGAAGGGGTGCTTCTGGGCGCTAGGAACATTATCCCTCTTGCTGGATATATGGCTGTGCTCAGTTTCTGAAAATACACCAAACTAGGTACTTTGATAGGTTCATCTTTCTGTATGCATATTGTACTTCAATAAGAAGTAAAAATTTTTAAAAAGGTAATACAAATCACAGAAGTATATTATTTTAAAACCTTACAGAAAGGGGTGCCTAGTTGGCTCAGTCAGTTGAGTGTCAGACTCTTGATTTTGGCTTGGGTCATGATCTTGGGGTCGCGGGATACAGCCTGAGTCAGGCTCTGTGCTCAGTGGGGAGTCTGCTTCTCTCCTTCTCCCTCTCCCTCTGCCCTTCCCTCAGCTCTTGCACCTGTGCTCTCTCTCTCAAATAAATAAATAAATCTTAAAAAAAAAAAACCTTATAGAAAGTTAAGTTTATGGTGTGAACTAGCTTCTCTAGCAGGCAAGAATTTACCAGTCAAAAGATTAAAAAAATTTAAAAGAAAAAAAACACTGAGAAAAATAATACAGCCACCTATATTCCAATTGATCTTAAGTCAGTAATGATTTCTAGCAATCCAAATTTTCCTATGCCAATGCACATTTAACAGTACCTAAATGAGGACTTAAAATAAACTTGAGGAATGACCTTTCAAATAAATCTATTTATATTATTCAAAGTTTTCATGTTGTGAGCAAAACAACTTCAACTGCAAATCTCCACTAAAAAATGTCATTACTGTATTTACTTTTGAAGAAATATAGTTTGATAACCTATCTACTAAATAATTGGTTTTTCTACCTCTCTGCTAGAATACAGTTACAAAATAAGTGAAATTATAAACTATCCCGAGTTTTTAAATAAAAAATCTAGTGATTATCCTAACACAATGATCTAAGAAAGCAAATCATACAAATACAAAATAAGAAAAACGATTTTCTTTACCCCATTCCTTCTTTCTAGTGACTACTTTTCTTCTCTATGTTATTATAGAAAATTTAAGTTAAATGAGAAATAATTTTAAGTAGAAAATTAATATTTGTCTGGCTTTACCACAAATGTTAGCTTATCAAGAATCCACCTTTTCCCCCTGTAATTGTTAAAAGTATTAAGTATCTATTTCCTCTAGAACATGTATTCATTTCACAATATTTTTAGTATATTTTGTTATCTCAAATATGGGTTTTAACTTCTATTGGAGTAGAGTTAATATTCAATAAATATTTGTTTTCACAGATTATCTGACACAAAATACTATGCCACAGAAAATGAATCTTTGTAAGTAGATTTGTCTTTGTGTTACAAAACAGTAAACGGTGGGGGTTGGGGGGGTGCACCTGGATGGCTCTGTCGATTGAGTCTGCCTTGGCTCAGGTCGTGATCCTGCAGTCCTGGGATCCAGTCCCATATCCAGGGTTCCCGGCTCAGTGGGGAGCCTACTTCTCCTTCTCCCCCCTGCTCGTGCTCTGTCTTGCTCTCTCTCACTCTCTCTCTCTCAAATAAATAAATAAAAAATCTTAAAAAAAAAAAGGCTGAATTCTTACATCAATGTAAGAAACACGTAATACATTTCCATTTGGATATGTGGAGGGCTTTAGGCATTTCAGATTTTCTAACATCAAATCTATTTTATGGCCAGTCACTGAATTCTCAAACACACGTGAAACACTAAGGATTATTTCAGTATGGTAGCACTGAAGCAAGGTAGCACTCAATAGCAACTGTGACATTCATGAGCTGAAGTTTTGTTCACCATATGTCTGGAAGACTGTTGAATCTATGATTCAGCTCTAAAAGAAGTCATCAGCTTTGCAATCACTCTCAAACAAGTGTAAGCTGGAGAAGACCACTCACTCCTCAGTGAGTCTATTTTTAAAAACAAGAGGGGGGGCGCCTGGGTGGCTCAGTTGGTTAAGCGACTGCCTTCGGCTCAGGTCATGGTCCCAGGGTCCTGGGATCGAGCCCCGCATCGGTCTCCCTGCTCCGCGGGAAGCCTGCTTCTCCCTCTCCCACTCCTCCTGCTTGTGTTCCCTCTCTCTCTCTGTCAATTAAATAAATAAAATCTTTAAAAAAAATTTCATTAAAAACAAGGGGGAATGAGCTGGATTTGGGAGGGGATGAATCAGGAGTTACTGAAAGTTTTGAAAATGCTCTTGAGGTTTATGTTACCACTTTCAACAAATAAGCACACATTGCTCTTCCACACAAGACAAATAGGTGTGTTAAACTGTGAACCCTCCACATTATTCTAAATTGAAAAGTCTCTCCTATAGTAACTAAAAAAGAATAAGTCTCTACAAACAGATATCCAAAGATATCTGCCAGGCATGATAAAAAAAAAAAAAAGCAAGTTTCAGAACAGTACATACTATAGGACTCACTTTTGTCAAAATGAGTATGTGTGTGTGTGTATTTAGATCTTCAGTAATAATTGTGGAAGGTACAATACAGTTTTGAGACAGGATACATGGGAGCAGGGTTTAGAATAAATTTTACTTTTTCCTCGTATAATTCCATATAATTTGAAAATCTGAAATAAGAAATCGCTTTTATAAATGGCTTAAAATAGGTAATTTGTATATATACAATATTCTATACTTCTGTCTTCCTGCAGTTCTGCTTTCCAAAGTATTTTTTACTTCTTCTATGTATTTATCTTACTTTTTAAGTTTTTTATTGTGATAAAATACATATAAAAATTTGCCATCTTAACTATTTTAAGTGTACAATTCACTGGCATTCATTACCTTCACAATGTTGTGCAATCATCATAACTACATATTCCCAAAATATTTTTTATCACCCAAACAGAAACTCTATAACCATTAACAACTCCCTGTTACCTCAATCCCCCTCAGCATCTAATAATTTCTAATTTACTTTCTGTTTCTCTGAGTTTGCCTATTCTAGATATTTAATATAAGTGGAAGCATTTGGTTTTCACCAAACTATATACCACTGCTAAACTCTTCTCCACAGCAACTGCACCATTTTCCATCCCCACCAATTCCAATTTCTCCACATCCTTTCAAACTATCTGTTATTTTTCCATTTTTTGGACTACAGAGATTCTAGTAGATGTGAAATGATATTTCACTGTTGTTTTGCTTTGCATTTTCCTAATAATTAATGATGTTGGGCATTGTTTTTCAAGTGTTTATTGGCCACTGGTATGTCTTCTATGGAGGAATGTCTATTTAAGTCCTCTGTATATTTCACTAGGTTGTAATTTTGTTGTTGCATTCTTTACATAGGGATATTAAACTCTTAGATACATGATTTGCAAATATTTTCTATCATTTTGCAGTTTGTGTTCTTACTCCTCCCCATTTTATTGAGAGATAATTGACATATACACACTGAATTTGTTTTAGGCATACAATATAATGGTTTGATATATATATATATGTTGTAAAATTATCACTACAATATATTTGTTAAGAGCCATTGCCTCACATAGTTATATTTGTGTGTGATTAGAACTTCTAAGATTTACTCTCTTAGCAACTTTCAAATATACAATACAGTATTGATAGTCACCATGATGTACATTATATCCCCAGAATTTATTTATCTTATAACTAAATTTTGTACCTTTGATCACCTTCATCCATTTCACCTATCTCCCCACCCCTACCTCTGGCAACTACTATTATCATTTTATTTACTTATTTTTTAATTTTTTTAAAGATTTTATTTACTTGAGAGAGCGTGCGTGCACACAAGCAGGGGTGGGGTAGAAGGAGGGGGACAAGCAGACTCCCTGCTGAGCAGGGTGCCTAATGCGGGGCTCAATCCCAGGACCCTGGGATCATGACCTGAGCTGAAAGCAGATACTTAACCACCTGAGCCACCCAGATGCACCTACCATTATCATTTCATCATTTTATTGATAACATCCTCTCATGAACAATTTATAATATTAAGACCAATTTATATTTTTTTCTTCTTTTGCTCAGGCTTTTGTTATCATACCTAAGAACTCACTGCCAAATTCAAGGTCATGAAAACTTGCCTTCTAGGAGTTTTATAATTTTAGTTCTTATATTTAGGCCAGTGACTCATTTTGAAATAATTTTTTAAATATATTTGTGTTATACAGCACCAAATACTGCATGTGGAAATCCAGCAGTCTCCCCACCATTTGTGAAGAAACAGTTATTTCCCCCACTGAATGATCTTGACACTGTTGTCAAAAATCAATTGACCAGAGATGTAGGTGACTTCAATTCTAT